CATATTTGTATGAAGGTTAACCATCGTCAAAGTTCGCATACCATAAGAGTAATATCTATAAAAAAATTGGCATTGAGGACCCAAATAAAGGTCTTGCAATTGCAGGGTTAAAAAGAGCATTCTCTTATTGTAGTGGGGGAGTTTCCCTCTGTGACGTTATTGGTACAACTGGCGTTGTTGACATCGCCATAGATGTTGTCCTAACGGGTGTTAAGATAATTGGCTATTCAACCGTCAATATGGATGGCTATTCTACTACATTCTGGGGATTATTCTTGGGATTGGGGGTTATCTACTAGAGGATGCGATATTTTGGATAGAGACTTTCCACTTCTTAATCGCATGTAAACTACCCAGAAAAATTCATAAATATATAACAAGTTTATAAGGGAAAACTATGAATATCTATAAAAGATAAATGTTTTAGCATATGTCCCACTAAACGTCCCAATTTGTATACACTGAAGATTAGTAAACAACCGCTAGTCTCTTAATAAAGGTTACTTGCAGGATCAACTAGGAAATCCTAAGACATAGTGTTAAGACTTTGTTTTATAATTTTTTCTAGATAAAAGACTGATTTTAACTTGATCAAGATAGTGCAATAAATGTGGTAAAAATGTAGATTTCGACAATGACAAAAGTGAGAAATGTTGTAAGAACCGAAAGTAAAAAAGACGATGCAATTGAGTAAAGATGAAAGTAACTGAGTAAGAATAGTAAATTAAATTTAAATACTTTGCATTGAAATAAAAGTGGTGTTTCAAAGTTCATACATTCTCTCAATGATAACTCTTTTCTCTAAACGATGGTACTTCAAGTGTAAGTGAGATTTTTGTAATGAAATGAACACCCCAAATTCTACAAATAAAATTCCTATTTATACTAGTATAAAATAAATGCCTTCAACGTTTATATCTCAAGCTTTCGCCACGTAAAAGTATGCATGTACTCCGCTTCTGCATTCCCTCCATGTGTCCTTCATAATGGAACTCAAAAGTAGTTATTTGTATTTGAGCGTGATATCTCTGCCCTTAAATAACCACTTCTTCGACGCACTCGATGCTGTAAAAAACGCTACTGTCGAAATGTTTCCAAAACATTCCTAAAAAATACTAAGTCCTATTTTCCTTCACTTGAGAATTTGACCACATACACGTCATCAAAGGTCCACATGTCTTTAACATTGACTCGTGCTGAGGTTTTTGCCCTTGTCGAAAATCCCATCTAAGAATAGGACCATACCCCCATTCAACTACTGGCAAGACTTCTTTTCACATAACTTATATGATCAAAGCCTTCATCTCGATTGAGATAGACGAGCTAAGTTGGAGGACCACGCTCCTCATAGTAGAAGAAGATAACTCAAAGGCAATCAGGAAAGAGGTTGATTTTCTGGAAGAAAATAGAGTTGGCATCGCCCTCATGAGCGCCGTCACTAAACATGCAACAACAACTAAGTACAAGAAACAAGTTTACCCCCGAGAATTCAAACGAGATGACCTAGAGTTAAGGTGTAACACCCCAAATTTAATTGGAATATTTTAATTAATTTATTTAATTAAGAATATTCATTTTTCGGTGATGTTTGGTAGTTTTGTGGATTATTGGGAAATTGTGCATGTTGGGATTATTTATTTAATTAATAGTATACAATATGGAAATATTAGTATTATTATTAGTTAAAATAAATATAAGTGAAATAAGGGTAATTTGGGCATTAAGAGGAGTTAGTGAGGGTATTATGGAAAAAGCTCAAATTGTGAGACCCAAGACTAGGTTTAACAAAAAGGAAATATGTGAAGAGATTAGGATTCATTTGTTAGATCGTGAAAAGAATTGAGACCAGAGCTATGAGGAGGGAGATTGGAGGCAAAAGCTTCGGAGGATTCCTGGAAATATTTGAGAAGGCTTTGATCGACAATTAAGGTATGGGGAGTATAGCCTTTCATGATTTTCCATGTGTGACTTTCAATGTATTTAAGGCCGATTTAAGGGTTTAAGGGTTTTGAGGAGATTTATGGGAAAAAGGGAATTTGCCCTTCGTGGCCAAATCCTATTTTGAGGTTTAACTTTGAACTAGGCCTTCGTGGCCAAAAACTATGATTTCACATTGGTCTAACCCTGTAGGGAAATTTGATAGTGAGAACTCTGATGATTGTGGTGTAGTGGTAAATATTCTTGACAGTTAGAGCATAGATATGAGAAATAGTGATATTTGGCCTTCGTGGCCTAAATCTGTTATTGGTGAATCTTACCGTGGAATCCGTTGGGGAAAAGGGAAGGGTAGGCCTTCGTGGCCAGAACCTTGAATTGTTATATGTCTGACCCTGAAGGGATATGAATATTTGATAGTGAGTAACTCTGATGCCTTAGGGTGTAATTGAAGGAAAAATTGTGATTTAGGACGTGAATATGTTATGGGATTGGCCTAATAAACCGTAGGTTTTATGCCTTTGTCGCCGTAAGACCTTAGAGATAATTTAGGGATTTTTTGGGGGCATTGGCTAAGTGAATCATAGAGCTTTTTGAGTGATTTCAAGTTCTAGTGCGTAGCAGAATTTGCTGTCATCGCATTGTCCGCCTAGCGAACGATTGTGTTCCCAGACTCGCCTAGCGAAGAAACTTGCCCCAGACTCGCCTAGCGAACATACCAGCGAACGTAGCAGAGTTTTGCGAATGTTGATCGTGTGCAGCGATGCTTTGATGTTTGATTTTGTAATTTCTGTGATGAATTAACATGAGTAGGACTGTGAAGTTTATGTGATTATTAGGCGATAGTATGAGGATTACTGTGAGTATAATTATGAATTAATATGTGATAATATGTGATAATATGATGAATTAATATGAGTATGATTGTGAGCGCTATGTGATTTGTACATAATTATATGATGATTTCTATGATAACATGATGTATGATGACATGATGTATGATGATGATTATTATGATGAGCTATGATGACATGATGTATGATGATGATTATACTGATGAGCTATGACGTTTGATGATGATGAATATGATGAATGATGATGCACCTATGATGTTGTTATGAAGATGATTTATGACGTGTGCATCATGCATTCATGTGCATTCGGACTTCGGTTCAGGACCTCGATTACTTTGGCTTCAATCCCATTGTGTGGATGTGAAGTGTTTTGATGTGCTCCGATTCTCAAGTAGAATCAATCCTATTGATGGAGATCTATGGAGGGTTGATGGCCCAATGTCCATCATGTTGTGATGATTGGTACCACATGCATTGAGTCTTGTTGCATTTTGCATTTATGAGTCTTTTGGTATAATTTATGATGTTGTGGCCTTGGAGGCATATTGAAGGATATGAATGTGTTGAATATGAAAATGACGCCGTTTATATGTTGATTTTTATACATTGATTATTATGAATTGTTTTACTCACCCTGTCTGTTTGAATGTTACCTCCATGTGGGTAACGTGCAGATGACCAAGTTTGGTCGTTGAGGACTTTTGAAGTTTCGAGTTGTTAGCCCTTGGTTAACTTAGAGGGTCTTGCTCTGATAATGTAACATCGGGTTGGGGTCTATGTTTTACCTGAGTTATTTTGATTATCTTTCTGTATAAGGAAAACTTTTGATAATGCCTTTTGAGTTCCGCTGCCTTTGAGCAATTTTTGATATCTTTTGGAAAAACCCGTTGTACACGAAGCATTGACTTATTTTGAGTTATTGAGAAATGTACGCCCTTTAAGGTGATTTTAATTGAGTTAAATATTTTACTCTGGTATCTGTGTTATTTTGCCATAATATTTGTGGGGTAGAAAAGGCTGTTACATAAGGCGTGTCGACGTTGGAGGGAAATACTCCAGAGATGGAAAAATCATAGCGAATTGGGAAGGACAATACAAAGTAAAGACCAACACGGAAAATGGAGCCTACACTTTAGAAACTCTGAGCAGTGAACCATACAAAGGATATTGAATGCAACAAAACTCAAATGATATTACAACTAAGTGTTTCAATATTTCTAAAAAATGTAGTCCCTCACATCTATGTAGTATTTTTAAATGAATGATATAACTCTCTTTATGAAAATTGTTATTAATTTTCATCAAAGAAAATCACGACACTTCACACCATAGTTATCACACACCCCTTTCGGTATCTAGTCACTCTAAGAGCGTAGGCGGTGAAACGCAAGATATGTAAAATCTAAATCAGACTTATACTTAGGAGTACACAAGAGGACTTGACCATTGGGCTTGCACGGTCCTTGCTGACACTGAAGTTTACACCAGTTCCAAACGAATAGATGAGTAAGAACCAACAAAATCGCAGGTAAAAAAACAATGAAGCAAAAATGTGGGCACAATTTATTCATAAAGGAATGCATCTCTGCTAGGGCTTCCTGATTGCCATAGTCGAATGAACACGTAACACCACTATTATGAAATGATAGTTATGTCAATAAACTCTTGAAAATGTACAACTTAGGAATGTTTTACTAGGTCCTAGGTGGGCCTCATTTGTACTTGATGTAAGTACTTTAATCACATATTATACATGTGATATGTCACACGAAAAATCGCATATTGATAAATGATTTGTAAATAATGTGATCTTTTGACCTAACCCTAAAGTTAAGTATATATAACCCTCAATAACCCTCTTTGACCTAGCAAGACATGTGAGATTTAAAAATTAAAATGTTTAACAAAAACTATTAATTTCATTACATTCAAATACTTAATAATAGGATTTTCCATTTTTAAAGATAGAAAGTCGTTTACTCAATTATAATCTATAGTTTAGAAAATCTATAAGAAACATATTATATCACTAGATTAGAATTAGAAAAAATTTGGTCTCACATTGATATGTAAGTTCAATATGCAATTTGAGGTAACAAAACAGCTTACTCCCCTTTTATGATATCTGTAGCAGTCACACGGCACACCGAAATAGAACAGAACAAATACGATACGCATTAACACAAGAACAAACCAACCAACCAGTCCAAAATGGAGCACGACGAAGACGAAGAGCCACCTCTTGCTGTTCAGATTCAACGAGATGATGATCAATCCATTTCTCAACAATCTTCTGTTGGTGTTACTCTCATCACCGGCTACCTTGGTTCCGGCAAATCCACGGTAATTTCAATCAAAATAAGCACCCCTTTTCTAATTTCTAATTGGGTACTTCAAAGTTGTGTCCTTTTTCACTTTCTTTTTCTTTTTTGTTATTGGGTCATGTACCTGTTGTTTATTAGTGCTAGTTTTTGAAGTGACAGTGTTTAAGTAGTTTTGTGACTGTGGAATTGTGAATTTGGTTATCTTGATTTTCAGCTAGTGAATCATATATTGAACTCTCAACATGGGAAGAGGATTGCTGTCATATTGAATGAGTTTGGGGAGGAAATTGGAGTGGAAAGAGCATTGATAAATGAAGGGGAAGAAGGTGCAGTTGTTGAAGAATGGGTTGAGCTTGCTAATGGGTGTGTATGTTGCACGGTTAAGCATAGTTTGGTTCAAGCCCTTGAACAGCTTGTGCAGAGAAAAGAAAGGTAAAACTAGCTAACTAGTCAAATTTTTGGGCATGGTTAATTGAAGCGCTCTCATACCAACACTTATTTGAGCTTTAATTATTGGCATAAGCATCTCTGGTATTACTTGAAAGAGTTTATGGAAACAGTTTATGACATATCGAGAAGTTGTTTTTTTTTTCTCCAGCTTATATCCATTAGCTTTCCAGGATAGCTAATGAAATCATCTTATAGTTTATATGAAAACAGTTATATCTTATTTTATCTTGTTATAGAAATGGCTTATGCATAAGCACTTATATAAAAAATCGTTTATCCGAAAGTAGCCTTAGTTGCATAGTGCTGTGGTTCACTTTCATCAAAACCCCTTTTAATTCTGTAGTGGATTGATATAGTGTTTAGAAAAGTGGGTCATATTTATTCACAATTACGCATTTTTTAATGTATTTTTTTTGTAGGCTAGACCATATATTGCTGGAAACCACTGGTTTGGCTAATCCAGCACCTTTGGCATCTATTCTTTGGTTGGATGAGCAGTTGGAATCTGATGTGAAGCTTGATTCTATCGTCACTGTAAGTATCTTTAATGGATGAAATTCATTATGTTTTCTAATTTTTGGGCTATGAATTTTACTAAATTTTCCATGTCTTGTATTGGAATTACTCATCGGGAATATTTTTGCTTAACAAAACATTTACTTATTGTTGTTATATTTCTTGTCAAACAAATTAAATTATTTTGTGCATCTTTGGTTTGGAGGTGAATTGAGCTGAATCACAGTATGCCACCTTTATATTAGCAAAAGATACGCTTTGGAGGATCCGTAAAACCACGACACTACTGCAATTTTGCCAAACTCTCCGTCAATCCAAACATCACTTAATTTCTATTACCAGCAAAATTGTCATTCTTCCCTGTCCAAGAGTCTTGGTGACATTTTATAGTACTTGTCATGGTTTTCAAAATAATACATTTATCATGTTGATTTTGTGATAGTAGCTTAGTATCCTCTTATATGTTGATAGAAGCTGTTTCTTTCCTTATTACATGACAGTGTGGCTTGTGGTTTCTGAATTATGGCATCTTTTCTAATTGTGGTTCTGCCCGAGTAGGTAGTAGATGCCAAAAATGTTCGGTTCCAGCTCAAGGAGCACCGTGGCTCGTCTTCATTTCCGGAAGCATATTTTCAGATAGCATTTGCGGTAATTTTTATTATATTAACTGAGTTTCAGTTGTTGTCTTATTAAAAACATATTTTTCCTTTTCACATTTAATAGCTGTCATATTTTTATATATTTGAAGATGATAGAAAAAATTGTAGGAACACTAAGTAGCCTCGTCTATCTATGCTAATAATTTAGGTCAAGTACTAGTTTAATGCAACTAGTAAAGCTACCATAATACTTTAACAATACTTCACAGTGAGATTCTCACATAGTACAATTGCATATAGAAGTGCTAATAGTTTTGCTGCTTGTTTCAGGACATTGTTATTCTTAACAAGGTTGATTTGGTATCTGCAGAAGGCTCTGGAGCTCTGGAGGAACTCGAGGAGGAAATCCATAACATTAACTCACTCGTAGAGATAATTCACTCTGTCCGATGTCAAGTTGACTCATCTAAGATATTGAACCGCCATGCTTACGATACTGTAATAAATTACTCATATATTTGCTCTTCATGTGTAGTATTTTCTTCCCACCTTGATGACCGCAATTTACCTTTGTCGCCTCTCTTTTCAGCATGCTGCACATTTAGAGGCATTGTTAGAAGAAAGCCGTTCTTTGTCTTCTAATAAGCTTCACGATAGTGGCGTGAGAACCATATGCGTTTTTGAGACTGGCACAATTGATCTTGATAAGGTAGATTTTCAAATTCCATTCATAATGTTATCGTAGATCATTCAATTATATAATGTTTAAACCATGGCAGACACGTATATGGCTAGAAGAAATTCTTTGGGAGAAGAAATACGATATGGATGTATACCGTTGCAAAGGAGTCTTAAGTATTCAAAACTCTGATCAATTGCATACTTTGCAGGTAAATTATACTTCGTGTCATTACAATTTTCGTTAAATAAGAATTTCAATTTAACCATATTAGATTTGAGTTTTAAATCATTTATCGGTGATAACCTTGCAGGCAGTGAGGGAACTATATGAGATTGTTCCTGCTCGCAAGTGGAAGAAGGAAGAAAACAGGGTGAATAAGATAGTCTTTATAGGTAACTAGACGAGCTTTCTCGTGTCTTTAATTTTAATGATTAGAAATCGAACTACTTGCACTAGACTTCGGTTGTAGCTTTTTCTTGTGTAGCATGAATATGAATATTCTTCATCTGGTTAATATGTTTATTTTTTAATTGACAGGTCATAATCTGAAAGAAGATGTTCTAATTAGTTCCTTGAGAGCTCTTGCAACCTGTTAGGCTGTTTATTTGTATGGGGAAAGATTAATAGCATAAGTGTTATCAGTTTGGAAAAGTGACTTCTTTTTCTTTGGTTTCAAAACATAGTTTGAAATTAGGCTACTCGCACTGATGGATACAGGATTTGGTTGAAGTTATAACTTTAGTGCAGTTCATAATGGATATGGCTCATGCTTTCTAATACAATTGTTTTTTAAATGAAACAAAAAATCATAGTTTGAAACTTGAGAATGTAATGTTATGTATCAAATTATATGAGCTAGTTAAACAATCAGACTTGATTGGCAAATTTCAGATCAAAATCCTCTCAATCAGCCATAAATGTATTACCTCTCGTATCTCAATCAATTTTTGGTTGGCGTTATCAACTTGACTCATTAGCTGCTTCAGTCTAATCATATTCTATTGGATGAGTTATCCGTCGAGGCAAGCTCAATTGGGTTTAGGATGCAAACCGGCTCACTCCAAGAGACGGATCCAAAAAATCAGACATGTATGCAACCCTTCAAGTATGAGCAATGTAGGGCCGAATTGCTTTCTTGAGATCTATAAACAAAACCAGACATGTACAGCGACAAAATTACAATCTCAAGCAAACAACTCTTAAGAGCACCATCAAGAAGGTTGTGATGCAAAGGGGGACAGATAGTCTAGGATTTGAGAACATCTTTAAAAGAAGTCACCAAGCTTAACTAATCAATATGCACAGTTATTGTTTGCATTTGTTGCCACAAGGGATGATAATTGTTGACCGAGTAAACCTTAAAACCATTCATCTAATTACATAAATCTATAAGTTTGTGTCCTGCTGCATCCGAATCCGATAGTGATATATAGTTACCACTATTAGATGCATGACACAAAATAATTCAAACTAATTGAGCTAAGGGTTAAAAGGATATGCACGTCCAGAATATTCTTTAATTTCACGTTTCAGATAATTAAAAACCTCTACATGTGTAGTATCAGGCAAGGTTTCAAAAAAGGTATGCAGCCGCAATAAAACGGTATTGACAGGTGTCGATACCGATACTGTTATTCACTATTTTTATGTTAAAGAACAAATTGGGGTTAATTCACACTGCGACGACCGCAATCCGTATCATAACACCTATATCGACCGAAATCACGAAAGCCTTTACACGACCACAGTCTTTATTAAAAACCTTGTTGGGTTCAGCACCAAATTTATTATACCATCTTTCAAATCAGAAATCACAGCTTCAATGAGGAACATGGAAATAATAAAAGTTGTTTATGGATGAATAATGCAATAATTAGAAAGGCTATAGCAACTCAAGGAAGATGAGATAAAACTAAAAAAGGAAAATTTTATTCAATATTTTTCTACCATTTCATCCACTGATTGAGTCATTTATAGCAAGCCTAAACTCATTACATGAAGATCCTATGCCAGGTGTGCAGACTATATAGCATTATATATTACAACCAAAGAATCTATTAACTGAAGGGAACAATTTCTGAACAAAATTGATAACAGAATATATGAGGGAATCCTGAGGGATAACCCTTACAAGCCAGATTCTCCACTAGCACTAAACTTAAAAAATGCTGACATTTCATAACTCAAATGCTTCATTTCTAACCAACTTTCGTTTTTTACATCAATTTGTATAATACTTACATGGCTTGTTTATCATACAGCAGTATCTTCAATTATTGGAAATCTATCCCTCCTCCTATCTCTAGTTGCCATCTTCTGTCCATATCTCTCAAGTATGTCTGCCAAATCAACCAACCCTACTTCCCTCAACTTTTTCGCTACATCCTCAAACATTACCGCACCTTCCTCATTCGAAAAATAATGCAAAAATTTGTTATAATCAAACCTCGGCACCTCCATCCCTCTATTCATCACCCTCTCCACATACTTAGTAGCTTCCTTCGAATGTCCAACTTTCACCAAACCACCAACAAAAATAGTATCAAAATTCACAAGAGGATCACTCCCTTTCCTTCCTCTCCTCCCCAAATGACCCTGCAACAACATTATATAGGTATGCATATTCGGTTCGCAACCTCTCTTTATCATCTCCCTAAACACTTGAGTAGCTTCACTTGCTCTTCTCAACTTCAAAAGCCCTTTTATCAATCCATGATAAACACTTATATCCACAACATCAATCTTCTCTACAACTTGATAAGCCTCTCTAACTCTATGTTTTGCTAGAAGCCCATAAACAACATATCCCAATGTCAAACTATCAACCCGAATACCCCTCTCGCACATTTCATCAAACACTTCATGAGCACGATTCATCATCCCCTTTTTACACAACCACTTAATCACAAGCCTGTAAGTTGAAACACCAAGTTCATCCATTCTCTTCAACCTCGTTGTTTCAAAAAGCTTCAAAGCCTCGCCAAATTGGTTAACCTTGAAAAACGTCTCCATGAATTTCTCAACAGCATCAACATCAGGAACAAAACCTTCATCCACCATCAAATTCCATATCTTAGAAGCTTCAATCAAATCACCCTTTTCACAAAACCCACTAATCAAATGCTTATAACTAACCCCATCAGGTTTAATCCAATCCTTCATCTTGAAAACAACAAACTTTGCTTCCTCAACAAGCTTAACCCTACACATTTCATCAACAACTTTATTCAATCTCTCAACACTATAACCATACCCATTAGAATTCATCAAGTGGAAAAACTCCACACACTTTTTCAACTCTCGAACCCCACCAAGAGTCTTCAAAGCAATCACAAATGTCCTATCATTGGCCAAACGACGAGTCGCCGTTTCGTTAAGAAGGTTCCAGAAGAGATCAATGTTGCGAGACTTTGAAACAACATCGAGCATTTTGTTGAAGGAAACAGAGGAGTGAGTGAAAGTTGGGTTTTGTTCTCGCTGTTGTTGCGTGAAAAGGAAGAAACGATAAACGGGTCGCCATGAATAAGGGAAATTGTTGCAGACTTGGAGGAAGAATTCGTGGGTGAGTTGGAAGTTGGAAGAGATGAGTTTTGAGTGGAGACGTGACTCGGTCGAGTTTTGCTGTTGGTAGAGAATGGTGCAGACTCGGAGGAGATCTTCTTGATTTACCGGCGAGATGAGGTTTGAGAGGTGGCGGCGGAGTGATTGAACGGTGGTGAGGTTGTTTGTGAATATAAGAGCGGTTGTTCGTCGGAGAAGCATCTTAAGTGATGTAATGAAAAAAATTTCAGAACTGAAGTGAGGTTTAGATTTTGAATCTTCGTATAACATCGTCAACAACTCAAAAGGAGAGATTAATGGGATTAATTATTATGCATTTTCACACTCTCAAGTTTATTGATTGGATAAAAAAAATTATATTATTAATACATTTCAATTAAATCCGAGTTTAATTATTTTTTATTACTTTAAAAAAACCTTTAAAGATTATTAAAAAATGTAGACACACACCAATTGTATTAAATAATGTATTATATTATTAATACATTTCAATTAAATCCGAGTTTATAATGTATTAATACATTTCAATTATATTATTAATTATTATTAATACATTTCAATTAAATCATTCCAATTAAATTATTAATACATTTCAATTGTATAAAAAATTATATTATTAATACATTTTAATTAGATCCGAGTTTATAATGTATTAATTAATTATAAAATAAACAATAATTATATAAACTCAATTGTATTAAATAATCATATTAAAAAAAGAGACGCGTGAGATGGAGAAAAAAAATTTACATTTGAAAATAAAAAATTTGTTTCTCAAATAAAGACAATTAATGATTAAAATAAAATAAATATTGAGCCGGTTTGTTTCAGCTTAAAAAAAATGGATTTTTTTCTTTATATTTTCAAAAATAGATTTTACAAAATCGTTTTTCACAATGTTGCAAATTTTTTTTAATTCATTTTTTTCTAAATTTAAAAGACTAATTTTGACATCTTATGACATAAATATACATTATTGAAGATCAAAAGATAGTTGAAATCATAATTTTTTTTAAAAGTAGTATTTCAAAAATGATTTTTATAAAAATTTATTTGAAATAACTTCAAAATTAAGTGATTTTTTGAAATTTTGATTTTCAAAAAAAAATGATGAAATATCTAAAATAACTATTCACACCAAATTTTCATTTGAAGCTTTCAAGAAAAGTTTTTTTATAATTTTTTTTTACACAAAATTATTTTACACGATAAAAATCATTTTAAAAGAAGGTTAAAACAAACGGGCTCTATGTCCTGATAGTGATCAGTAAAATAAAAAGTTAGTTGTGAGCACTTTTATTGAGTGCCATCCAATTTGATTCAATTATAAAATGTATTTAGATACACATGACAATTTCAATTGATTTACTTAATTATAAAATAAATAATAATAATATAAATATGAATATTTTATATATAAAATAATTATATTTTTATTTGAGATAAATTTTGTGTTTTAAAAATTCAACATGTTTAAGTATTCTTCTTCGTTAAATTAAAAAGATGTTCAATTTTTGTTATTTATAATTTTAAAAAATAAAATAGGAAAAAGAAAATGGAGAGATAAAAAATTAAAATGAAAGTGAGAAAGTGTGAGAAATAAAAGTGGGAGAAATTTGAAATTTGAATTAAGAGAAAAAAGAAGTCAAAAGTAAAAAGTAAAAATGAATAAGGTAGCAAAAACATATAATTTCAATTTTTGTAGCATTTGTTAATTACAAATATACTCTTTTGTTAGTACAATTTTTAAAAAAGAAAATGATATATGAGGTATTTTGATGGTAGTTTATTTTAATTGATAGATAGTTGATTGATGTCAATTGTCAACCTTATCGGTGCACACAATCTCTTCATTCATTCAAATTTCAAATCTCTCTCACATTTCTTTTTCTCACACTTTCTCATTTTAATTTTAATTTTTTTCTTAATTTATTTATTATCACTAAAAATAATAATAATCTATTTTTTTTTTTAATTTTAATAAAATAACACTATATAATTATTTCAAGAATCACTATAAACACAATATCTATTT